GAAGTCATCTCATCCTTTGCAGTCAAAACTCTTGTGGCTTATCAGAGGGGCTACTGTCAGAACAGGCTGCTCCCCAAGAAGGGGCAAAGTCCTATGCTCCTACCTCAAGATTAGCTCATCTGGTTAGAAAATGATGCTAATAAGGTCAAAGTTGTGGTTTTGATCCCCATATGGGACACTCACTGAAGTGTTGGACTTGAAGATCCTTGTGGATTGCTTCCAGTTCAGACTATTCTGTGATTGATTCATTCTGTGATCCCAGAACCTTCTCCTCCATTCTAGGAAGACCACCTTTCAAAATTCCTTCTTACAGGGAAATTAGATGATTTCTGTTCTTCATTAGGCCTCCAGACAGAGGACCGCATGGGTAATGCCTACTTTCTCTGCCTTAGTGCTCCTTCCAGCATCATCTTAGAAAAACAACTAAAAATGTACAATCCTTCTCACAGCCCTGCTTTCAATTTCAAATCAGTTCTACCTGTTGCTAATTCATTAGCAAAAGGGGATGTTATCAGTGTAGGAGACTCATTTTTTGTAAATAAATGAATCTCCAAATTCAATAACATTTGTATTATCCAGTGTTCTCTGAATTCCAATACTGCTAATTAGCATATGCAGATGAAAAGTTGGGTGTTTTCAGGTTTGCAGTTTTTGAAGATCAGCAACAGGAAAATAGGTTTTTCCCTTAAATCAGATGAATTCATGCATATCCGCAAAGTAGAAGGAAAAATGTGTCTATGACTTAGCTTTCATAGTAGAAGAGAGAGGGAAGAGAAATTAAAAATAGGGTGTTTCTTTCATCCTTCTTTCAAGTAATTAATAAGGGGGGGGCATTCTAACATGGAAAAGCAGGAAATAAAGAATGAAAATTTTAAAAAAGGGCAATTATTCACATAATTTCTTCCCATAACCTCCAAAGCACAAAAATATTTTCTTTTACTGTATGGTTTCTTAGTTTAATTACTACCAGCCACATTAGAAGTTTTTACAGTGCATTAATCATTATTGGTTTAGAAGGAAAATGCTGCATTCTGCTTATCAAGAGCAGAGTAATGCTTGAATAAAACCATTCGTTTTACAAAAGGAAGTAAAAAATGTATTAAGTTTAGAAGGAACTAAACCAAACATTAGGTAATATTTTTCACTGGATCATTACTATTTTAGAAGCCAAGCAAGAAGGACTAGTCCCTGCCATATACATACAGAAAAATTAGATATCCAGCTTGCAGTTCAATGCGTGTTTTAAACAACTGCTGAGTACTAACTTGGACCTCCTCATTGGATAAAAATCTGAATATCACCGATAAAATGCCTCTCTATCTGCACCAATGGAAAGCTGTGGTCTCGGTTTCAGAACATGAGCTTTTCAGCAGAAAAAGGATAATCCCGAGTAATTTTTTTTTTCCCAGATTTGTTTCTTTATTTTTAAAGGCTTTGTATTACTTGTGCCTCTGTAATTCTTTCTTTTCCAAGATGACATTCATTCCTTTTCAGTGGTCTTCTAGGATGGAAAACTAGAATGTGGAAAACTACTGCACTTGAGAAGAAAACTACTGCTTGGTTTTAGCAGATGGTCTATTTTTAAAAATAGGTTGGGGTATAAAATTAGTCCATCAAACTAATGAAAAATCTGTAGCAGTCTCACAGCACTTGTAAGGTCTGTTTAAAAGAGCAGTTTGTTTCATTGCATGAGTTGCTGCTGAGGAACATACATTAGTGTTCGGAAGCTGTGGATCATTTTTTGTCCACTAATAAGATGTTACCTGACACAGCATTGTGAAGGGGTCCATCCAGATAGACATCTTTCTGCATTGAGTATTTGCGATTTCAAAGATTAGAAAAAACTTGAGTGTTCTCTAGGGTAATGCATGCTCTTCTGCCTCTGTATTTTAGGCTTGTCTTGGGTTGCTATCATGATTCGTCCCCTTGTGCTTCTCCCATTCTAAATCCTGTATATCTATTTGTCACTACTAGAAACAGCACTTTGAAGACATGGCACTATGTTTATCTGTGAGATGCACATCATGTCTTTCAGATCACCAGTATCTGCTCTGCAGATAGTCTTAAGGCAAGGCTCTTATTGATAAGTTTGTTTAAAAGAATCAAAACCAATCAAAAAACAAACAAACAATCAAACAAAACACCCAACCAAAAATAAAAAAACGCACCACAACACCAAACCTTATTAAGATTCAAAGATTCAAATTAACTGCTGGTCAAAATCTCTACATTTGAGATGCCAAAATGTTACTGGGAATGTAACTCAGTGCTACTATTCTACATCCAAAACTCCCATTCTCAATAGTATTCACCATTAAAGGAGCTGGTCCTAAATATAAAAAGGCAATTGGCATTTACATAAAAACTTCTCTCAGTTTCTATGCTGTTTGAATTAGATGTGTTACCCTGGGATTCCCACAGGCCATAACCTGTTTCTGTAACATCTTTGCCATTGCTGGTGTGGGTTTAATTTTCTATTTCTGAAAAAAAAACAAAATTCCTCTACATTTTATTTCATTATACTTGAGAACAAATTAAATGGAAATAATGTCTTTAAATAATACTCTGGGAAAATACATACGCTGAGTGACTATATTTATGCTATATACATAAATATGGCTCTTAGCAATAGAAGTAATAACACTTTAAGCAAAATAAACACAGACTGCCTCTTTATTTTTGGCTGTTGTGCCAACATTTTTTTATAGCTTTGAGGTAAGTAACTGAAAATTCATTTAACAAATATTTAATTTGTGCCATAAGATGGTAGTAGATCTGTACTCAATCCATACTCAGACTACATCTTTCCCTGCTTGCAAATTCCTCAGCAATGTGCAATAAGGATAATGTGTCAGCCAAAGAATCATCTTCTTGATACCTCAAGAAAGATATTAGCTCCGTTAGAGATTTATGTTATATTGAATCATGTTAGAGTTGTCCCAGCAATAAATTACACAAAGTGAAAACAAACAAACTCCAAATGACTGCAAAAATATATCATTTGAAGTAAAAGTAAAGCCAATAGATAAAATCTAAGATTGAAGTTCAAAATTCAAGCTCTATTTTTTACTGTCAAATTACTAAGCACTCATTTAAAAATGTTTTTTCTCTCTGGTCATTATTGGGGACTGGGTTTTAAAATAGTATGTACTTCTTTTGATCATCTACTATGATTTTGAACACACGGGTTCTTATTTATACATTTCTGACAATGTCTGAGAAAAAGAATTTATTGTATATTGTCCTAAATCAATAATACATTAATGTTTATCTTCTTCAGAAACAAAATCTATACCTAAAGGCTGTGGCTTTTACCTACATGACAAACCAGACTTCTGAACTAACCAGATCAAAACTTACAAGTGATTGCAATCCAGAGTAACACTGCAGTTTGAGCAAAATACCACTACAAATGCAGAGCTTATGGGCTTCTTTTTTTGTGTTTGGAAGACTCCTCTATTTCTCACTTGAACTAAAAAGTAGTATTTCAGATGTTTAACATGTAACTGTCAAAATAGATATCCAAAGCATCTGTTAAATCTGGGTCATTATATAGTCACAAAAAAATGAACCCAGATATCCCAAGCAAAAAATGTGGCAAGTGGTTTTCACAGCAACGCCTGGCATACACTTTCTATTAGCTGAGCATTCTTTGTGGGTTAAGTATAATCAAATAAACCTAATAACTGGTGGCAAACTAAATGGAGTTGCAGCATTAAGCTAAGTTCAAGAAACAAGTTATTTTAATCTCCTTTGGCAGAACCCATCAGCTGCTCCCAGAGCAAACGGAATCTACAACTTACCCAGAAACTGGGCTGAGTTTGTGGTAGATCATTTCTTCCTATGAAAAAACTTGCAGAAAGACTCCAGATAGAGTGGGGCAGAAAGTCCTTTCCACTAGCTGGTTCAGTGAGGGGTGGGAGCAGAAGGCTGTCCCAGGGTGGAAGCACAGTCCAGGGACCCTAGTGGGAGCAGGAGCTGCCTGCCAGCTCTCTGCGCTATCTGCTCACCGTTTGTAGCCTCTCTGTCTGGGCATTCTGCAGAGAACCCTGCACTTCAGAGAGATGCAGCTTGAAGAAATACTGAATCATAAGAAGAACAACTCTCCTTCTGCAAAGAAATGGACACCTGTCTCAGTTCTTCCCCACCTCTGCATTCTGCTTCCATAAATGTGCGCAGGGAGGATTTTTCTCTTCCAGTATTTGAAATATGCCATTTCATTCAATCACTCATTTCACATGCCCGTTCTGATCATTACGATACAGTTATGACCAACATGAAAAATGCTATTGGTGTCTACAACAATGCAAACAACAGATAAACAATTGAGTCCATCCTATTACTGATGCAGGTAATCAGCCTCATTCTTGTTACGTCTAGACAACATGAACTTTTTGTTTTGTTGTTTTCCACAAGAGAGCTGGGAACTGTTTTACCACACCTTAAATGTTGTTTTTTCTAGACTAATCATATACACAGATAAGTAGAGACAAACATATGTAATCCTAAACACAATACGGTTAGAAGGAAAAAAACCAGCAGCCCTGGTAACTCTTCTCCCAATATAGCACAGGTTGGTGGTTTGGAGCAGACTTCAGTAGATAAATGAAATACATTGATTTACCTATGACACAGCTCCTCTCTATATTTCAGCAGTGGCCCAGTGACTCTTGCTGAAACTGCACGGATAAAGTTAGTGAAGCCTGTAACAAGATTCTAGCAGGACTTATATATGTGACATTCACTGCAGATTATGTTATGTTCCCAGCCTCACTGGAAAATTCTTTCCTATCTGCATAGGTTAAACCATACGGTATTAGCACCAGTATCTAAAAACCAGACTAGAGATATCTATAGCATAAATAGACTGTTTGTCAATACATATGATTATTATCCTTTTATCAGTTAAATCTGTATCTGATTAATGCCTTTTCTTAATAAAAAAGCATATATATTGCACTTCTAAGAAGTTAACCATAAAAGCATTTTACTTAACTTACCAATAGTTGAAGCTGGAAGGAGTGCCTTAAACTCTACCTGATCTCAAGTTCATAATATCTGTGTCTCTCTCTTTCTTTCTCCCTCCCCCCGTGCAGAGATTGCAGTAAACTTAGAAAACTAGCGGGGACAATGTTTCAAATGACTTAAGAAAGAGAACAGGAACAATCATTTCGTTCTCTTTTTTTTTCAGATGAGTACAGTACCTTCAGAAAGAAGGAAGGAAGGGAGGGGAGAGGAAGTCAACAACCCTTTGCTTTCCTGCAAAAAAATAAGGAAACAGCAGATAGCAATCTCGTTTTCTCTCAAACAAAATGTTTGGAAAAATAAATATGTCCAATCCAAAAGGAATTCCTCAAGTATTATATCTGCATTATTGGCTTCATAAAACCTTCTTTACAGCTTGTTATGTGCAACTACATGAAATGAATTTCCGAAATAGTAGGTAGGAATAAGAAAACCATCTCTTATGCAGAACAGTTAGCCATAAGCTTGCATAGATAATGAAGGTTTTTACTCTGGAGAAAGACGAACTGTAGATGCATACACAGATCTTGTTTCCATGGTGATATAGATAAAAAAATGCCTAAACCCCCTCTTTACCCTGACCACAGGAAAATAGCACATTGGATGTTGATAGAAAGCTGTGGAAAAAAAAGGGGGGGGGAGTGAAAGGGATGAGAAAAATGTTGAGACTCATAGCTTGATATTGGAGGTGCAGCAACAAGTAATTTATCTCAAAAAATGGCATTATAGAAGCCATCCTGACCTATCCGAACAAAACCAATGTGCTATGTTCTAAAACAGATTTCATACCTTATTTTATTACTTTCTTTCCCCATTAAACTTATTTTGACAAGCAGATACTGGCCAGCTGGCTGGAGTTATACTTGGGATAAGTTTAGTTCACTGTGCTCCACTGTGATTTTGTTTGCTTGTATCTTTTCCCCTAACTTTATCTATCATCTGAAGGTCACTTACAGTGATTAGATGGTCCCCTTTATTTCCTGTTAATTTTTTTCATTCTAACATTCTTGCAAGCAAACACCTTCACACTGTCATGAAGTCGTTACGGTTTCAGTTAGTGTGGTAGTGCAGTACTGAAGATGGAGCTACTTCTCTATGACCAATTCAGGTTGAGTTCTGTGAAAGACAAAAAAAAAAAAAGAAGCCTTTTCAAATGGTCTTATCATATACACTCTGCATCCAGATTTTGCCCCCTGAGTAATGATACTGAAATTTAGTGGAAGGACAAGTTGGTATGTTATTCTTTTATTATACAGTAATGAATATTGATAGGCTGTAAACCAACATAGGAAGTAGCTCTTTAGCACCTGTGTTCCTTCATGTAATTACTGGTACTATTTCCAGAAGATATATAGCAATTATTTGACTAGATAATAAGCAATTATCTGGGTTTTATTTTAATATTTGGAAATTGAAATCTTTGATAATGGATATCAATGGATACAGAGCAGTGCAGGTGCTATGAGCAATCTCTGGCCTTACTACATCACCAGGGTTTTCTGAAGTGGGCAAAAGTGTAACAGAGGCTGAATTTTAAGAGCAAAAGAATGCAATGTGCTTAGGTTATGTATTGCAAATGAAGTCCTTAATTCTCCCTTGGGAGTGGAGGGCCTAATCAAATAGATCTCTTGTGCATACTGAGCACAAGGAAAGTGAAGAGGCATAGAAAGCCACCAAAGTAATGTATGGTCCTGCAGGGTCAGTCTAATAGCTCAAAACCTGTCATTTTGTTTTGAAATGGGTTTCAAGATCTTGAAGATATTTGCAGCTTCCAGGCCTTTTAAGCTCATTTAATTTATTTATTTGGCCGGCACAACAGGTTAATGAGACCCTGAAGACTGACATAATGTAACTTTTGTTTCTCTGTATTGGGAATCCATTGCAGAAGTGTAGTTGAAAACCCGTACTGATCAAGTTAGGATCATTCTTAAGTCACTGAGGGTATGTGATACGCTTTGTAGGCCTCTATGAAGGACGTAATTGTTATATCGGTACTTCAAAGAGTAGCTTTCCCTTTCTTGAGGACTGCAAAACTAAGCAGATGGACACAAATATCTACGAAGCATCTTCAACAGGTTCAAGACTGCTATTCTGATTGAAGGAGAATGTGGGAGCCCCTACTTCAGCAAGGACAGCAGGAGATCCTACCTCGAGTATCTTTGTCAACAGCCTTTCCACTATCCGAGAGATCAGAACTTAATTGTCCAGCCAAGTGTGGGTGAAGTAATCTTGCTTCCCAGCATGCAGCCATTGAAACACTTGACCTGTATTTGTTTTGTCAATTTCTCCCAACTGCTGCCAGAAAATCACAACCCAAGGAGGAAGAAACACTGAAACTGTGATTTTTCATGCGAGAAAAATACCTTGCAAGGTCATGCCTGTGCAATGACTGTGGAGAAAAAAAAAAAAAAGATATGACCAAAATCACTGGTATCTAGAGTCATGCAAATCACATAATAAGAAATGACATTATGATATTTAGCCAAGTTTTAAGGGACAAGTTAACCTTCTTTTCAGAACATATTTCTGGAAGAAGTGTTTGCCTTTTTTTTTTTTTTACCTCTTCTCAATCTACTGTTACCAAAATGAAGGCTCTGATACAAATTCAGACAGACACAGTGCCAATCTCAATACAGTTCCATGAACAACATCAAGTGTAAGTATTTCCTGGGTCCAGTACATAATGTCTTGTAAGGAGTAGCCACAAAAAAAAACATTCTCGTGTTCATGGTCTCAGTTAGCATTGAGGACCAGGAAGATTCCTCTGATAACACTCTGTATGATCAGACCAGATCTTGTTTCTTTTATTTTTCCTTCTTTCTTACTTTTCTTACTGCAATAGGGAATCTTTCCAATGACAGCAGAGATGCTGTTTTTTCTATTTCCTTATTTCGATGCTTTTAAAATAAGGATGAAATAAACTAGTTCATCATGCTAAAAACAATGAACCTCTATCCAGCATAGTAGAAAAGAACACAGATGTAAACACATCAGCAATAGTATTCCACTTTATCCTGAGAAAATGAAACCAAAGGCAAAACCCAGAAATATTTAGTGGTTTTCTTGATTGTTTTGGGGCAATAACCATATATATCTGAACTGAAAAAGTAAGATTAATATCTTCCTTCCGGTCTACAGTATACCTATGGCATTTTAGCTGAGTAAAAATAATACAAACCTCATTCAGAGACAAAAAAAACCTGAAGGACACATTATTGTTTTCCATAAGTCACTTTCATCTGTGTTTTTCCTCGTTTCTTTTCTGTATTGCCTGTTTACCATAGATTGATCAGGAACAAGCTAGCAGAATACTAATGGGACCAGAGACAACCAGAGCTGAGTCGAAAGAACTCCTCTTCTGTTCTGCAGTGTGTAGAGAATAGATGTCAATATTAGGTCATGTTTGTAGCTTACTGTATTGCAAGGCAATAAGCCTGAATACACTAATACGTATTTTGTTCAGTTTCTCAGGTTATAAAACACTGGAATGTTGGTTGTTCCACAGGTTTTACTCTACTGCCTGTCTTTCATGATTATAGTATGATCAGAGTATTCTCATGAGTATGTGCTTGTACAGCCAAACTTATTATTCTTGAGTCTAATTTTTTTTTTTTACTCTTGAGACAGGTAATACCTAATCATCACTTTAACAAAATATTCGCATTTACAGACTATAACCTTTGGACCAACCACATTCGTCAATTGTTTTGGGGAGAGAAATGTGGGAATTTTTATCAAAAAGAGGAGCATTCCTGGCAATAAACACCTTATTATAAATTCAAATGTCCTTTATAACTTATCCTGGGCCAAGCTCATTTCTGGTAAATGGCATTGGCTGCAGTCTTTTAAGGACATGCTTTTCCTGTACCCTGTATGCAATCATCACAACTACCTTTACTAAAACAATACCATCAAAAGCTATTTTCAAATACGATGGTATGATTAAGAGGATGTGTTTTCATCTTTTGACATAGCATTAAGTTATAAGAGCAGGATTGCGAGCCCTATTCAGGTCAGAGGTGGACAAGAACTTGGCTTTAGTCAGTATGTTTGAATTTGATGTCACACTGAAGATCTGTAACATATGGAAAGTTGCTGAAGTATCCACCAAGTTTTTTGGTGGTTTCTCAAAATGGTCATTTGACAGCAGTAAAGCTGCAGTTTTACATCTACTTAGACTGGAAAATAAATCCAGCATTTGTTCTTGGTTATCTTGCTCAATTAATTGTGTTTATGTACTCTAATGTTTGAAAAGTGTATTGTAGCACCTGAAATTACTTAATACATTTACAGGTGAAGGCTGGGCATCTAGTTTTGTAAAATGTGTAACTCTTCAGAAAATATCAGGAAAAGGCAGGTTTGCATATTCTTCCTGTGCAGTGCTAACCTTGTTAGCTCTGATAATATGACTATTACTTCTGGAAGCCTGATATTCTATTTCAAGATTAATTAGAAATTAATATGAATTTATCTTTTTTTTTTTGAATGGGTCTCCAGTCGCTGTCATTTTCATTTTAATTATTTAAGTCACTTAGCTAACGTAGTCTCCGTCTTATATGAAGTAAATTGCAGTATTGCTTGTTGAGATATGCTTTGTCCTTTAATTTCTGATATTTTTTCCAAAGTATCCTGTGGCTGTGCTACAGCTGAAGTACTGTGGACACTTCAAAAAGGCCCTTCCTGGGATTAAAATAGTGGTGCACCTCTGATTTATAGCTGCTAGGCTGTAGAGACAAACAACCTCCTGGGAAATCTGTACTCCCTATCCATGTGAGTGTTGATAAATTGTGTCTATAATGCTTTTATAAATTCTCAGAGAGGGGGAGGTGGAGAGAGAGAGAAAGAGATAGAGAATGAGAAAAAAGGAAAGGAAGGAGGGAAGGAAGGAAGGAAGAAAGGAAGTAGGGAAGGAAGGAAGGAGGGAAGGAAGGAGGGAGGGAGGGAGGCAGGGAAGAGGAAAGATTCCTTCTAGTTGGAGAGTGTTTGTTTTTTTTATTTTGGATTTGGGTTTGGATTTTCATGGAATTTTGGATTTGTTTTGTACCTTGATGCCTAGGAAATGCTAGGCAGAAC